TCCTCCCATGTCAGAGACATTCTCCTATACTGCCCTATTAAGTTTTATAGTTCTCTGTTCTTAGCATTTAGGTCTTTAATTCACCTAGGAATTGATTTTTGTACATCATGTGAGTCAAGAGTCCAATTTTATTTCTTTCCGTTAGTATAACCAGCTGTCCGAGCACCATTTATTAAAAAAATACATAAATTCCCTCTTCCTCCACTGAACGGCAATGGCGGCACTGTCATAAATCACCATCTCACGAGTGTGTGGGCCTGCTTAGCAGCAATTTGACGATCCCTGCACCAACACCACACTGAGATAACCTTTTAATGTTTACAGCCAATCGTATCAGGGGTTTTCTTTATTGTGAAGAAATAAGCATTCTCGTACTATATTAGTGCAAATATAAATTGGGGCAAACTTCCTGGAGAAAAGTTCAGTAGTGTCAGCCGAATTTAAGATACACATACCCTTTGTCCAGCAGTTCCACTGCTAAAAATACACCCTATGGATACGTTCACTAAGATATGGGCACAAAAACATATGTTGCAGTATTGCTTACAACAGAAAAAACTGAAAACCTAGATGACCAACGACAGGGAACCGGTTGTTTAAATTATGGTACGTCCAAGCAATGGAGACTTTAAAAAGCCTTAAAAAGAATGAAGTGGAGCTGCAAGTGCCGTGATAGCAATTTCTAAGAAGTACTGAATGGCATAGATCAAGGGCAGTGCACACCTAAAATGGAACCTCACTTCTGTAGCATTTTTAAAAACATATACTTACATGACGACTTATGTATGTTTTTTTCTGGAATGATACACCCAAGAAACTTTAGCATTCACCTTCAAGAGAGAAATCTGGGATGGGGCAAGGAATAGGTAGACTCCTTGTATACTTTTTAATAAGGTTTGAATTTTTTAAAAAAACATTTTTTTAAAAAAAATTGAAATGCAAAAATAAAGTGATTTGGATGAGAAAAGAAAATGACAGCATTTAAGTAAAATGTCAGGTTAAGAATACAGAATTTTAAAATTACTGAGGAAGGAAAAACCCAAAAAAACCCCAAACTCCTTGCCGTGGAGATGACTGTGACTCACAGCGATCCTAGAGGACAGAGTAGAACTGCCCCATAGGGTTTTCGAGGAGCAGCTGGTGGATTCCAACTGAGGACCTCTTGGTTAGCAGCCGAGCTCTTAACCACTGCGCCACCATTGAAGGAAGGTCAATGGTTGAATCGCAAAAGAATAAACACTCACCTTTGGAATAACTGAGCGCGTTGATACAGCAGAGATGGTTCTTAAATTATTTTTTTTTTATCCTGGATGGGAAAGAAGTCTCCAGACCCACAACATCTGCAGGTGTTGTAGAAAAAGCACTGGAATCAGTCAGCCTTTGATATAGCCAAATGCAGGCAGAGCCCAATAACTGCTGAGCTGATGGAAATCATCATCGGTAAGTCATGCAGTCCTGAACTACAGGGAAGGGCCTCCGCCTCTGCCAGGTATTGTGGGAGGTGTCTTGGTTCTGATCGAGGAGGCAACCCCAGAGCCCAGAACGGCTACTCGAGTGACCCATTGCGTCATTTACCCATAGGCACACCAAGTGAAAGACCCCTTGCCCATGAGAATGCCGGGAGCCGACACCATACAGCAGACTGGGAAGGACTACTATGAAACACAGAAAGACTTGGGGTCAAGTTCTGGGGAAGCCCCTTTAGCCTAGTTCCCTAGCAAGACCCTCCACTAGAGCGGCATCCAAATTTTGTTCTTTGAAGAGAGCCGGACATTCTGATTGTCCAGAAAGGCAAAGCAGAGGATACGGAAGTTGCAGATAGTGGTGGAACACTGTTAAGCCATCCATTGAGCAAACTGCCTGGGTACTGAGAACAATCTTGAGCAACAAAGTTGACGGCTCCAGTGTTTCAAGTCCTTTGGATTCATGAAACAGGTCAGAAATCTGTTGTCCTAAAGTGACAGCTGCTGTATAAGTCACAGAGCCCTGATCTAAGGCTTGGTCATTCAAAAGCAGGTGTCTTCTGGGATGAGATAGGCTTTGTTTCCTCCGCTGGCGGAGTGGGGACTCAAAGGCTAGGGCAGAGCAGGGATCTCTGCACCAACAGAGTCACTCCAATCCCAACTTTGAAAAGGGAGAGTTTAATTCTAGCTCCTTGAACTCCGTCTGCCCCTTCCTGCAATATACATTCAGAATAAAGCACTTGGCTCCGTGATACAGGGGGAAGAGGCAGGAGAGACATGCAGAGCTGTACCCACACCAGCAGGCTGTGAGGACATGATCATATGCTGCACAAACCATAGTGATAGGAAAGAACTTGGGCTCAAACCAGGCCTGTGCACCACCCAGTCCATCACACCACAACCAGCCACCTGCCCCCATACCAGAGGATACCTGCCCCCGGTAGAACTTGTGATACCCTAGAAATACCCACTACCCAACCACAAAAGGCCCAACACAAAACCTGCCTTCTCTGGGTGCCATTAGTTAGTGCCACTATTTCTCTCTCCTTGGAGTACTCTTTCTGTGCCCAGTATTTATCAGTCACTTCATTTCAAACTTACCGTTCTTACTATTAGCTTTTGGTTTGATCCTACCAACTATTACTTAGACGGTAAGTCTCTAGTCTTATACTTCACCACTTCCCTCATAGTGTCTAAAAAACCAAAACCAAATCACTGCCATTGAGTTGATTCCGACTCTTAAGAACCCTACAGAACAAAGTAGAATTGCCCCATAGGGTTTCCAAAGAGCAGCTGGTGGATTTAAACTGCTCACCTTTTGGTTAGCAGCAGAGCTCCTAACTACCGTACCACCAGGGCTCCGGCTCATAGCTCCTAGCACTGGAAATTGGCTCTACAGTGTATTAGACCAATAGATTTCCATGGGCTGGTCACAGATGGGATGAGATATGTGGAATGTCGTACTTATTTCCTTCAAAAATTCAAAGTCACTGAAGGCAACAAAGATGCTACAAGAAAACTACAGTCCAATATCACTTGTGAATATAGATGCAAAAATCCTCAACAAAATACTAACAAACCAAATTCAGCAGCATATAAAAAGGATTCTACATGATGACCAAGTAAGATTTATACCAGGAATACAAGGATGGTTCAACATTAGAAAATGAGCATAACACACCATATTAATAGAATGAACGGAAAAAGCTTCCATGATCATCTTGATGCAGAAAAAGCATTAGACAAAATCTAATGCCCTCA